GCCAGCGTCGTCCCGCTGCCCCTCTCCCCTCCCCCTTCTCCCGCGTTTTTCTCCGCGTGCACGCGAGAAATCAGCCTCCCTTTATCAATGCACGCCCTCTGAGAACGTTGTTCGATTCGAGAGAAAGAGAGAGAGAGAGAATCGAGTTAATATATTTCCAGAAACAAAGTGTAAACGAGAAGGAGAAAGAGAAAAGGAATTATTCGAAAGTGTTTTAGATAGGAATTTCGAAAGGGAGAAAAAAAATAAATATACTCTTTGAATCTTATTTAATATTTTCGATTAAATATATAATATTTCGAGAGACAAAGCGTAGCTCGAGAGAGAGAGAAAAGGAAACGTTCCAGATAGAGATTATAAATTATTTTTCAATAGGATAGTTTCGAAGAGATGATTTCGATGTTAATTAATATTTTCGTTGATATTGAGTGTATTTCGAGAGAGAGAGAGAAAAAGGAAATTTTCCAGAAAGAAGAAATCTATACTATTTTCCAAGAAATGATTTCGAGGAGGAAAAAGGAAAAAAAATCGAAATTCTGCTCTCCTTCTCTCTTCGATTATTTTCATCTGATTTCGCTGGAAATCGGATAATTCGAGCAGAATGCATTAAATTTTCGAGAAGGTAATAAAATATCGATCGATCCCTACTTGACCGATTGAAAGAAGATACAGCGCGTAGGAATGATTTCGTATTTTTAAACGGACTATTATACGGAGTCGGGTGAAGCAAACTGTGAATTGTTACCGTTGAACAACGGACGCACATTTTGTTGAAACGCGTGAGAATAAAGTTTGTTACGTTATAGCGGGCATATAACTCTTCGCTAGCGACGCACTTATCCGTCGAATCGAAACATTTATTTCATTTCTTTCTTTCTTTCTTTTTTTTCCCCTCTTATTTTCCTCCTTTTCTTCTTCTTTTTTTTTTTTTTTTTTTTCTTTTTAATCCGGGAAAAAAAAAGTATCATCGGTTGAAGGCACGAACCGAGCCCATAATACCGAGGGCGCCCCCTCTCTCTCTCTCTCTCTCTCTCTCTCTCTCTCTCTCTCTCTCGATTGTTTTCGCCTAACGCATACGTGAGTCGATCGGTTATGCGGATAACTTACACTGAACGCATATATGGGTTCATCGTTTGCAAAGGGTTAATCGTAAACTAAAATACTCCGTGATCGCGTCACGGTCTCATTCACATTCCGCCCTATTCCGTTTATAATATAACACATGGATTATACTCGGCAGACGTTAATACCGACCAAATTCGATCTCTTCTCGATAATATTTATATACATAAACCTGCCTTCGAATACTCCTCGATCAAAATCAATCTATTAAGAAAATTTCCTAAAAACTCGAGAAATTTTATTCATTAATATAATTTTTCTACGATTTTCGTTTAACTCATACTCGTGTATATATATATCGAAACGATCGAAATTCTGCCTTCCAAAGCGAATCGAAGGGCCGTTTCAAGATGAAACCACTCGACTCCCCTTTTATCGCGACCCGATGGAATGCGGCACCACGGTTACACGGTGTCCATCCATCGTAATTTACCAGCGTTGTCATTCCGATTGAGTCCCCTCCATTAAAAGAGCGTTGCCGCCAATTCGCTCGCTCGTACGTAGTTGACGAATTTTTTCTCGCGCATGCGCATTCGACACTTATGGATATATATTTACTCGGAGAAACGCTCGGAAAACACCGATAATCGACGAAATCTATTCTCTCGGTGGGAAGAAAATCGCCGCGAAATATTTGATTTTTAACAACCCGGTCTGAAGGAAGGGAAACTCCCTTATAGAAACGTAAAAAGAAGAAGAACTTTCCTGTCCTCTAAGAAGGGTATACGAGTGCTTTTAAAATTTCTAGAAAATCGAAAATATCCTTACAACGTTGGATACTAAATTTTCTATATCTATATGAATTAATATATATTAATATAATTATTAATAAATTATATATCATACTCCTATAATTTATATATAAATTATTAGAGAAATTTTCATTATTAGAGAAAGAAGGAGGGGAAAGAGGTTCGAGATATAAAGGAGGGGGGGAGATATAAAATTCTATAGAGAAGGTGCACGATTTGAGCACACCCGGGACAATCGAGACACGTTAGAACGAGGCGGCAGCGGCGGCGGTATCGATCAAAACGCAAGTTAAGTTATACAAGACTTACTTTAAAAATAGCCTGTAGAGTACGGCGCTGAAGGTCTGTGAAAACCAGGCGCGGTTTCTTGGGGGCGGGCTGTTGGTGTTCTGCCTGGTTCGCCATCTCGTCTTTCCTCTTGCATGCTGCAAAAATTCGCACGGGATCATTCCATCTGGATCTTATTGTCGTTAGAATCGCGAAAATTTTTAAATTAAAATTCCTTCCTCCAATGATCAAAATAATTTCGATTGATTAGAAGAGAGAAAAAAAAAGGAAATGATTTTCAAATATATAAACAAATAAATTGCAATAAAAGAAAAAAACCGAATCTTCTAGGAAAGTCTTCACTTCTTGGCGCCAAAATTAATTGCTAATTAACGGATGAAAAAAGGGATGCCGTGTGAAGAAAAAGGGGAGAAGGGGGAGAGGATTTACGAATCGGTCGGTGTTCGAGGTTGATCCTCTTCCTGGTCGAGCAGCCATTTACGTTTCCGTAAGATTTTAATACCCTTTCAAAGGATACTACTCCCGACTGCTGTCGAGAGAAGCAAGGAGGGGGGGAGGCGGGGGAAAAAAGAGGGAAGATGCGAATCGAAGCGAAAAGAAAAGAAAGAGACGTTTCTTCCTCGTGTTTCCCCGTACGCTCGCACAGGTGGCGCGCGTGTAATTGATCGGCCCAATTAAGACGGAATAAAACGGAGATGGAGAACGTTGTTCGATTTGATCTTGTACTTACCTCCGCGTTGTGGAATCTGTGCAGCTGAAAGCAGAAAAAAAAGAAGACAAATGTGAATCAATGGTGTACTAGTTTCAACAGGACGACCCGTTTTTTTTTCTTTATTCTGTCTTTGTCTATATATACGGGTCGTCGTATAAATATATATATATATATCTTGTATTCTGACTGTGTGTGCAATGCATTCTTTTTTCTTTTTTTTAATGCGTGTTTCTTAGATATCTTTTTCTTTTTTGCTTTCTTTTTTGATTTTTGATTCTCTTT